ACCGCCGGTGACGCCTCCCACATCCCTCCCCCTCCTCCTCCACCACCGGCAAGTTCTTCACTGACCTCGTCGAGCCCTACAACATCATCCCAGACATTGACACTTACAACACCCTCATCAATTCGTTCGCCAAATCGGGCTCCACTCACTCCACCTACTCGATGTTCAATGAAATGAAGAGGAAAATCAAGCCCAATTCGACCACTTTTACTAATGCGATCTCGGGTTTCTATAGGGAGCAGAAGTTGGAGGACGTGGATAAGGTTTTGGGGTTGATGAAAGAGTATGGGTTAAACCCGGGTTCGAATTTGGTGTATAATGTGAGGATTGAGGGGCTATGTAAGTTGAAGAGGACGAGGGAGGCGAAGGATTTGTATAGGGAGATGTTGTTGAAGGGGATGAAGCCGAATTAGGTGATATATAATCTTTTGATTGTTGGATTTTGTAAAGAAGGGATGTTGGAGGAGGCTAAAAGAGTGTATGAGGAGATGGGGAAGAAAAGGGTTGTGCCTGGAGAGGGTCAGTGTTATTTTAGCTTGATACATTATTTGTGTCAGGGTGGGGATTTTGAGGCTGTCATGGGAGTTTATAAGGATGCAATAGGGAAAAATTGTATGCTGGGGTTTAAGACGATGAAGATGCTAGTGAATGGACTGGTAAAGAATTAACAAAGAGGTTGCGGGCTCGGGGAGCAAATCAAATGAGGATGAGAAGGAGATTGAGAAGGCAATGAGGCAGATGTGTGGACTCGGATTGGGGATGAGGAGGATGACGCAGATTCACTCGAGCCCGTCCGATCAGAATCTGCATAATTCTTAGGGCTCTCCTGTTGATGATGATGATGAGAAAGAGAACAAAATATGATTTTTTTAGGGAGAGGACATAGGATTTGTACCTAATTCAGTGCACCAAAAAAAAAGAAAGAAGAAGAAGAAGAAGAAGAGGGAAATTTGTTTGCTTTAAATTTGAGTTTTGAGTTCATTGTTTATACTGCACATTGTTGTAGATTGGTTCTACAAAAAAAATGGAATGGTGGGTTGGGATTGTAACTTCCTAATGTATTTTTGTTTGATGGGTTGAAATCCTTTGTAAGGATGATGTTGATCCAGTTAGAGTTCAATTTGGGAGTGTTGTTATGTTTCTTAGTTATTCAATGTTAAATGGGAAAATGATGGAACATATATGTATCATAATTAACCGTAAATATGACAAATAAGCATATCATGTGATATTTCAATGTTATATGTGATAATTCAATCTTACACGTGACAGTTCTACCTTATATGTGATATTTAGATCTGATTTGTGATATTTAGGTGTTGTATGTGATATTTGGGTGTTGCTTGTGATATTTGTTGTTTATACGTGATATTTGGGTGTTGTATGTGATATTTGGGTGTTGTATGTGCTATTTGGGTGTTACTTGTGACACTTGTTGTTTATACATGATATTTGGGTATTGTATGTGATATTTGGGTGTTGCTTGTGACATTTATTGTTTATACGTGGCACATTCATTATCAACAAATTACAGCCAAATATCACATACAACACCCAAATGTCACGTATAAACAACAAATATCACAAGCAACAAATATCACATATGACAGATATAAGTCACATCTGATAGAGTCATTCCACATGTGATAAATAAGCATATCATGTGATATTTTAATGTTATATGGGTTGTATGTGATATAAGTCACATCTAATAGAGTCATTCCACATGTGACAAATAAGCATATCATGTGACAAATAAGCACATGTGGAATGACTATATTAGATCAAAATATCACATACACAAATGACAGCCATGTGTCACGTATAAACAAATTACAGCCATGTGACAAATAAGCACATTCACTATCAACAAATTACAGTCAAATATCACATACAACACCTAAATGTCACGTATAAACAACAAATATCACAAGCAACACTCAAATATCATATACAACACCCAACTATCACATACAACACCCAAATGTCACGTATAAACAACAAATGTCATATAAAAAAAGCATATGTGACATGAAAACAACATATGTGACATGAAACTGTCATATGTCACATTAAACTATCATATGTCCCATAAGCAAGTGTAATAAATCATATAAATATCAAAAACTTGAATAACATAGCAAATATCACATATTAACTAAAAATATCACATAAAAGGACACCTGGATATTAATATGTGATATTTGTAGTTAATATGTGACATTTGTCCTGATATGTATTGTTTAAGAGCCCAAGATTTTCTCATAAAAGGACACCTGGAGCAATTCTAAGATGGCTTGTCACATGAAGGACAAACAGAATGTTATAGCAAAATTAAACAAGTTGACTTCGATTTCCTTATCAAATTTTACAAACCGATGAACTCTGTTAACCGTCCAAATGACAAATTTGCACAAAACCAACTATACTAATAACCACGTTGGAAGAGATTCCATTTGTAGATTCACATACGATATGAATTTGCACATAGAATGGTCCGAAGTTGAATTAAAAAGGGAAAAAGAACTCGTCTTTTGCTCTCCACCTCGTCATCATCCCCTGAGAAATCTACAAGATTCGATCGAAATTATTTTTGTTCTCCTTCTCATCATCATCATCAACAGTAGAGCCCCAAGAACTGTGCATATTCTGATCGGACGGGCTCGAGTGAATCTGCTTCATCCTCCCCATCCCAATCTAAGCACACACATCTGCCCCCTTGCCTTCTCAACCTCCTCCTCCTCCTCCTCATTCGATTTGCTCCCCGAGACAAAGCTAGGGTTTTTCGTTAATTCCTCTCCCATCAAGGTTTGCCGACTAACTTATAACACCAAAAAATTAAAAAAAAATTTAACATGAGTAATTCAGCAATTCATTGAAACGAGCAAAACCAAAGAAATCCACGACAATAAACACAATGGGGGCTCAAACACAAAAGAGAATCAACAATCAAGCTTTGATTTGATTCCATGATTCAAGTTACAAAATTGACACCCTCTTTGCCGCCAAATCCAATCAAAAGCCTCAAATTCTCAATTTCAATTACATCAAAATTAGGGTTTTCGATCCAAATCTAACCTAAAAGACACAACAGGCCCGACGATGATGACGGAGCCGTTGGGCAGAATCAGGTCGGTGGAGTACCAGCGGTCGGCGACAAGGGATGGGGAGCTGAGCTTGACCCAGCCGGAGGAGACGGAGGGGTTGAGCTTGCGGAACTTGCGGAGGCCGTCGAGTGTCACCGCGGTCTGGGAGCTGAGGGAGTCGTCGGAGAACTGGCAGGAGAAGCACGCACGTGTCGGATGATAATTGCGGGAGGGGGCTGAGGGAAGAGGGTGGGACCGGGGTGAAGGAGGCGGAGTGGGTGGAGCAGTCGTGGGACCTGCGGGCAGCGGGGAGGGAGAGGTTGGAGGGCCGATGTGGTGCGGTCGAGAAGGATATGACGGTGCCGAGGTGGGTGATGGCGGTGTGCATCGAGGCGATGTCGGCGTTGGGGAGGGGGAGGGAGGAAGAGGGGAGATGATGAAAGGGAACCGCTTTTAAATTGTGAAGAAGGGTAATTTGGGAATGAGTTTCTTGGGCAGTGGGTCTTGAGGGTTGGTTGCACTTATATTTCAATTTAAGGATTTGGGGGTTATGGTTTTGGGATTGGGGAGGAGGATGCTTGCTCCAACTTATTTTGGTTCCTCCAAGCAATTTTCCCATTAATTTATAAAAGGTACCATCCCTGCTCATACAATGCCCTCCAACACTTTGTTTGATTCCGGAGCATCTCATATTTTCGCATCATCTGCATTCAGTGGAAAGCAACACATTCCGTGCGTTATCGTAGAGCGTAGTCGAACAGTTAGGACGTGTAGTGACGTGGTGCTCGTATGTTGTAGTGTAGATTGCGTCCAGTGGTTCCATGTGATCGAGAGCTGCATGCGGATCTATTATATAATGATAGATTCCCTCTAGTACGATGTCATTTTAGGCATGGATAAGTTATTGATTGTCATTGGAGGAATGTCATTTTAATCTTCCTTGGCGTCCATCACCTGAGCTCTTGGAGGTGGTGATGGTCAAGATCCGCCAGGTTTTAGAGCAGTATCGTCTAGAGTTGTGGCGTTAACGGAGGTTCGAGGCCCAGTCGGTGTGTGTTCTCAGACGAGTTGCCAGGCTCTCCTTGGCGTTAAACGGAGGTTCGAGCGAGGCCCAGCCTGATACCAAAGCCGGCGCAGAGGATGGCACCGAAGGAGCTTGAGAAGCTCAAGAAGCAGCTTGAAGGAGACTAATAAAGGCAAACAACGGGTGAGCCTTGGATCTCGTAGATTCTGGAAACCTACAATTGAATATTATCGAAATAGGCCAAGGGCCTAGCCCAGTAGAATTTTCTTTTATTTTCTTTTCGTGAGACGCCCTCTATTATTTTTTATGGTATAAAGCTTGGAGGGGACCGGCGTGGGGTCGGTTAGATCAGCTAGGGCAGCTCAGAACTCATCGGGATAAAAGTTTTTAAAAAACAAAAAGAGATCGAGAATTTAGCCCGATATATAAATCATCTAATCTCTGACAGTCAGATGAGGTGGGTAACGGCATAAAATGCTAGCTACTGAGGTTCCAAGAACCAATAACAGAAGATTAAAATAAAAATTAAAAAAAAGTCATATATAAAATTAAGTACAAGATTTAGGTAAAGCTTATCCACAGGCGGAAGAATGATGGTCACAAGAATTTACAGTCAGACATAATGCACTTTGGTTTTGAACACAAACAGATGCATGAAGTGGCAACAAACTAGATCAGCTTATGCTTTCAACATCCTTAAGTAGTTATCGATAATTGACATTGCCGATGATCGGTATCCATAACCAAATAGATTATAGTGGTTTAAGTAATGATAAAGCATGTATAGGTCTCTTCTTTTCTCAAACCCTGGTTGTTTGGGCATCACCTGAATATAAACAAGAACAAAAAAATTAATCATGTCGTCAAATTAAACCAACATGTTCAACTTATATCTCATTTCTAGCAACAAACTTAGCATCAGAGTTGTCCAGAAATCATCAGCAGTGCTCTCAAATGAAACCCAAGGAAGTAGATAATGCTCTGGCGCTTAAATTTTCAAAAATAATGAATTCAACATATAGATACTCTACTCATAATTACATGACTCCCATGAACTGTTGATCCTTAAAAAAACCATAAAATTACGAAATTTCATAACCAACAACAACCATGTAATTCAGGTTTCAATTTTATAGTTTTTTCCTTGTCAATGTTTGACTCTACTTATCTTTACTACCAATCAACTACTTATGTTTTCTTTTACCAATCGCAAATTGAAACGGAAAAGATACTACCTCAAAGTAGGAAGTATAGAAGGATCCCCCAAATCCTGCACACCATGACATTCCAAAGTCTGCTTCATTATGCCCATCTGCACATGTAGCAAAGGGAACCATCATAATGGGAGGTTGATTTCAGGCCACGCTAATTTATATGAGCAATAAACATTACGTAATATTGATACATTTTCTATTTGGCTTCAAGTTCCAGCGAAAAGGGAAATCTTTGAGTTGAATTGCTTCCGTTCTATTAATACCTAAATCATTTCCCCCAATTTTTTAGTTTATCATATTTTTCATGATTACACATGAAACTTACAGTAGCATGCTGGATCCAATATAACAGGATCGCCATTTTTATCAGAGCTGATATTCCCACTCCACAAATCTCCATGCAGTAGGCAGGGCTCGAGCACCGCACCTTCAAAAAGTTGCTGCGTGTTCTTAATTAGTCGTTCACCTGTTAAATTAAGGGAAGATCCAAATAGAGAAACATTAGCAACCTTCCTCAAGGTAATAATATGATTCCCAAGTAATTGCCAAGGAATAATCTGATTCCCAAGTAATTGCCCAAGGAAATCACAGATAGCATTGGAATCGAGTTTTTGTACTATATTAAACTTCTCAAGTACAGTGGTACCAAGATTTGTATTATAAGCTAGAAGGAATACGAATCTATTAAACATCTCTTTCTACAAATGCAATAGATCAAGACACTTTGGAACATTATTGTTCGCACAAATAGGGATTTCAACTCCATAAAGACGCTACAGTTAGATTAGTAAAAGATCATATCCGAAGTATCAATTTGCCTATTATTCTTGTCACGCGCCAAACCAACAACAATATTAATCAATTATAACAAAGTCAAAGTGTGTGACACCTGACCATAAATCCTTTTAGCAAGAAGACCTACGAAGCCTAACTACAATATGTCAAACAATCATGTTCTTAAGTAAAACTATAACCCTCAACACTCACCAGTCACCACAACTTTGAAGTTTTGATGTAGTAGCACGGACCTTAAGATGGCACCAACCCATGTTCAAATATTATTGGTCATGAATTTCTAAAGCGGTCAAATAAGTATACTACGCTCTGTGACTCCAGGCTATACTACCCATAAAGAAGCCCTCAACTAGGTAAAATGTTAGATCACATCATCACCAACTTTGGAGTTTTACTATTATAGTAGGGACTTAATTCCATACATGTGATCAACTCTAAGTAAGATCACATCATCACCAAACAAAACACTACTTAGATGATTGGTTGTAGCCAACGACCCAATTCACATCTCCAAACCTTGTTGGACTCCATATCCCAAGTCATACCCACTTGAAATACTATTTATGGTTGGGTGAGCTTTCCGTGTATGTAATAATTGGTATACATTTTCTATAATTTACATAAACGAATCCATGCATATAATATAATATATCATTTACTTGGCATACATGTTTGCAACATTTGTCAAAACAAAGAATAAATTCTTAAAATTAAACATCATCACACAATATCTTGACAACTACCTATAGCGAAAATTTGCCTAGAAAGGCAGTCTATTGCGGCGCTCAACCCTTTATTTCATATCTCAACCAGACTGGCTACCACGATGATATCTTTCACCCGTGCTATCTACATGTACCTCAACATGATGTACATCATAAACCAAGGAACAACACATCATGTACCTCAACATGATTCAAATGTCATGTCATATATACAACTGACAACAACAAATCAATTCTCTGAATATGCCAAGATCAACAAAAATCAGTGCATGCCAACAACGACTATCTTTTAAAATAAAGAATATGTAAACTCCACTTACAAATATTTCATAAAATCCAAGTTCCTTGCGTGGTCCTTCAAGAGTTGCTTCCAAAATCTAACTCTTATAATATTTCCCCAGTACAAATAGATATTCAATTATCAACTTCCAATTAAATGTAAAGGCTTATACAATAGATAATATACCATTTCAATAATATGTCCTTAACCTAGGTTGATTACTCTTAATTCCAATAAGAATGTTAAATTCTAATATACCCTTTAACTAATATGTCCTTAACTCTAGGTTGAATACTCAATAAGAATGTTAAATCCAAATAAACTAAGCACCATTTAAAACTTTAGTAGCCATCTATCCTTAAATAAAATTCAATTTCTGCCTTTACTACACTATCAGCCTCAATTTAGTCCACAACTTTATTCCTTTACAATAAGAAACTAATACCTCGTTCCAATTCCTCAATTATCTTAATTATACACTAAACCTAAGCAAATCAAAATATAATTGAGAACCTAGAAATCATATAATTAAAAAATCAAATTAGTAGTTTTGGAATATATTTTTAACACTCCTCCTTTGTTGTTTTGTTTTTCCTCTTACCCTCTTTGTTTCTTCTCTTCTCTTCCTTTTTTCTTTGCCTACAACATTTTCTCTTCTTCTTCTCTCCTTTTTTCCTGGTTGTTGGCTCTAGAATAGGGACTAACGAAAAACAAAGAGTGTTAAATACCTCTATCCACATCTTTTGCAAGGGACATGCATCCCTTATCTTTACTCCTTAGATGACACTTCATATCCACCTCTTCTTAACGAAAGGACGCATGCCCTTACATTTCACACAAAAACCCTCCTAATTTTTATATTTGTACATTCTAAGATTTTATTACAATATACATCAAAAATTTTATTTGTAAATATTTATTCTAAAACACATATATTCATTACAATAACTTCTAAGACATTAATAAAATTGGGCCTTACATATTCTTCCCCTTTAAATAAGTTTAGTCTTCTATACTTGAAATACCCTAATCTTGAAATAAGTAATGATGTTTCTCTATCATTTCTTCTTCATACGCCTTTGTAGCTTCTTGTTCTGAGTGATTTTGGCACAATACTTTTACTAAATAAATCATCTTGGACCTTAATACATGCTTCTTTTTGTCGATAATTCTAGCCCATCTTGAATTCGAAGTGGCGCATAATGAATTACGTGGCTAGATTCAGCCCATATTTCCTTACTGAAATATGAAACATGTTATACTTACTAATTTTAAGGGTAATGCACCTCTCTATGCAACTTTCCTTATCCGATCTAGTACATCAAACAGCTCCACAAATTTGGACTCAGTTTACTATTCTCTCCAGATCTCATTACTCCCTTGGTTGAAGACACTTTCAAGAACACATAACTTCCTATTTGAAAATTTAAATGTCTACTTCAATTTTCAACATAATTCTCCTGCATATTCTAATCAACTTGACCTTCTCTACCGTGATACGTACAAGTTAGGCCCAACTAACTTTCAGTCTTCCTAAGAGATCAACATTTTCTACCATATAAAGCCTCATATGGTGGACGAGATCAACATTGGCATGATAACTATTATTGTATGAGAGCCTCACCAAGGATAAATGATCTTCCTAACTATCTTTCAAGTTCAAAATACAGGCCCAGAGAATGTCTTCCAAAGTCTGTATAGTCCTCTTTGCCTACTTTATTAAATTAAAATGTAATTGAGATCTGCATATTCTATTAGTTAGTGCATTAGAAGTTAATATAATTAAGAAATACATTTTGCAATTAAATATTTGCGAATAAAAAATTTTGGTATAATATTGTAATAAAAGTTTAGAATGTGCAAATATAAAATTAAGAAAGTTTTTGTGTAAAATGTAAGTACATGTCCTTTCATGAAGATGAGGAAGATGCAATGTGTCATCTAAAGAGTAAAAGCAACACACACGTCCCTTGCAAAAAACGTAGAGTGGTGGCATGTCGAATCGAAGTTGGTGGCAGGCATCGGGATGAAGTCGACGGTGGTGTTGGGATGCTCGGAACTGGAGGGGAGTAGGGAGCCTAGGGGCTGTTTGGGGTAGGAGCGGTGAAGGAAAATCAGAACAGGAGAGTGAGCAAGGGCTGCTCGGGGCAGGGTGGTGGAGCTGCGCTGAAGGGAGGAGAAGGAACAGGGAGAAACGACGGTAACTGGTGGCGGTGGGGGTGGGGTTGGGGCTGATCGGGGATGAAGAGGATAGGCAGCGATTGAGAGGGAGCATGTGGGTTTGACGACTGGGGAAGAAGAAGACCCGGGAGAGAATTGGCGGCTAAAATTTACATAGAGAAAAAATGCAAAAAAAAAAAATATTGCCTAGGGTTTCACACCCGATGGTTTCACACCAAAGATTCAGCCAATAATTTTTTTATTCAATTCTACATTAATCAAATTTGAATTACAGTAGTGTTTAAATAGAAAACCAAAATACAGATCTGGAAAATTCCCTCAAATCACTCAATTGTCAAAACTGATAACTACTAAATTTAAACCTAATTCGAAATTCAAATCTAAACTACTAAAATTAAATTACAATTCAAATTTCAAATTTTGAAGAACTAAAATCAAACAACAAAGAAAAAAGAAACTCCTCATTATTGTCCTTATTATTCTCCCGGGTGGGAGAAAACTCGACTTCGTCGAGTTAGCGGCAGGAACTTGTCATCTTCAATATACTCTGCTTGCATCTTAATCTGCCATTAGTTACTTTCCTGTGTCTCAAATCATTAACTAGATTACATTGTAAATTCACCATCTAAAATATTATCAAAATTCACTGCTGCATGGGTGAATATATAGAAGTGGGGTAAAGTAAAAAAACTCTCAGTAACAATAGGCTAGGGTCAGGCTTATATTAGTGGACTGCCAATAATATTTGTGAACTGCTCAATCATACAATATTGAGAATAGAACTATGACCAAATCGATAATATAAATGTTGCCATTAATTATTTTAATAGTTGAAAAAGTTCATAAATATCATATCAAACCTCGAATAGCTATGAAAGAACTGTATTGGACAAGTCTAAACTATCTCAAATATCATCATTAACAGTTTTAAATTATGTCCTGACTCAATATCATACATTTCAGTTAACAATGTATTTATTCAAATTAGATCACTGATTCCCCAATATATGATCAATGCAAATAAAAATAAAAAAATGATGTGAATTAATTCAAATGACTATGTATGAAGTGCAGACTCAAACAATGCGATCAATAGCAGATATAACTCAATGAAAGGTTTAACATGCATGACGTCCTCTATCAAATGGAATAGTTAGGCATTCCTTCGTTAAGATGACTAACAAATTTCTTGTTCTTGTAGTGATAGTGAGGAACATGCAAACAAGTGCGTGCAGGAGGAGTGTTTTTGTGCGTTTAACATGTGAGAGAATGAAAACACTCGTGCTCAAACTTATATCCCTAATCACTATATATTCCCAAAAAGAATCAGTGTATATGTGAGTAACTATCGGGACAATGCATGGGGATTTGATATCCAATATGGCAGCTGTTTCACTATGCTCAGTTTGGGTTTTAACTTCCATACAGATATCTGAGTGAATCGCTTTAAGAGCCAATTCAGGAACGTGTTGGGTGCTATGTTTG